CATTGCCGATGATGGGGACGAGGATGAGGATGACACTGCCAGGTTGAGCGATGTCATCGCTCTAGCGGAGGTGGGTTTGCAGATGGAGGAGGATGAGGACGACACTAGCAAACTGAGCGAGCTCATTGCTCTAGCAGATCAAGGCTTGCAGGTGGAGGAGGACGCATTCTTCTCTTAGGCCGTAGAGGCCGCAGATGAAGTGGAGGCCGCTTACTACAGGCGTGAGGCAGATAAGGGCAATGTGTGTGAGCCTAGCCACATGAAGGATGCTGAGGAGAAAGCATTATTGTCTCAGGCCGCAGATGAAGCGGAGGCCGCTTACTATAGGCGACAGGCAGATAAGGGCAATGCAGGTGAGCCAATCCACAGCAACGAGGTTGTTGTAGAGGAATGGTACTCGGACAACGAGTTGCTTATTCAGTATGTTTCTGACTAAGGATTTCTGATTGTGCCTTGTGGTAGTTCCATGCTTTAGATTTTGTAGTTGCATGATTTATTAGTGAACAGTGTTGTTATGTACTAGACCTTTCATTGTGGTGTATTGTGTTTCATTTGATCCCATGTATGGAACACTGTTTCCATTTACCAAACTTCGTAGGGCTTTTCAGCACATTTGGCTTCTGAGATATTAAAACGAGTATGAATTGTTTGCTTTTCTTAGTTATTAAATGCTAGCGGTGTAGCTTGTGTAGTGTGTTGTCACATCAACTGTGCATTGTACCACGCTTTTTAGGTCTACTCGTGCCGGACACAGTTGTAGGCTTTTCAGATTCAGCATCTAGGCTTTTAAGTTGAAAGCTGAAATGGTGACACATAGTTGGTTCAATAAATGCGCTTTACAGATGTTCGTACAATTTATTTACAGTTGTTTGGTTTACTTGCAATAATGGTGAAGCCGGCTTCGTCTATATATACGTTGTGCACCTTGTATTGTTGCATAACTTCGTTAGTAGTGGTAATTTTTCGCAGCAGTTCAAATGTCAGGTGGAGGCTCCTCGAGCGGAAAGGGTGTAGGTCGCGGGAGAGGAAAGGGGGGAACAAGGGAGATCCGATTATTTAGGAGGGTTCTCTTGGCCTTGAGTTCTACGATGAACCAGTTTTCGAGTTTCCTTTGGAGAGCAAGAGTGATTTCAACCGTGAGTGCCCTCTTAGAGGATACGATAGACAAAAAGAAGATTGGCCAAGATGCCGCCATGGTTTGGATTGCGTAGTGCAGATGTGCACCAACGAGAATGATGGAGCAGGCCGTCATTTCTTTAGATGTCCGAAAGGATGGGTACTACTTCTGTCCTTTATCTTTTTTGAATTATTTACCTTGTTTTATCAAAACTTATAGGAAACTTTTTTTCTGTTTCAGAATTGCATTAGTGAGGGGAAATGTGGCTTCACTAGATGGGTAGATCCTGCTCCTATTTATCCCCATCAACAATACATCAACAACCTTCACGAATGCATCTTTGATCTAGAAAGGGAAGTTGGGAGCGGTATCAGAGACAAGGAGGACGAGAACAACAGCAATGATGCAGAGAACCTTTACATTGATCCATATTGTCAGTGCCCTAATCACAAGAAGAAAGGCTCCCCTCCCCCACCTCCACCGCCACCTCCACTGTGTACTGGAGGATACTGCGGAGAAGGTTCAACTCAGTTTGCGATGTGGGAGCATGAAGGGTCGAGATGGCGACTAGAGGGGGGGTGAATAGTCCTTTTAAAACTTAATCACGTTGGCTAACCGAAACAAATGCGGAATTAAAACTATCGGTCTAGCCAAGACTATACCCCACTATATATGTTCACTAGCACCTTGCAAAGATAACAATTATGCAACAAAGGTGCCGGGCTAGTTAGAGCTCTCCTAAACAATTCTAGGAGTAAGGTTACACAAACCTATGTCACTAATACTTTAAGCAACAAGGGAGCTCCTACACATGCTAGTAAGCAAAAGCACAAAGCTAACTAAGCTTACTAGCAATGCTCAATAACAAGGCAACCAATGCCTAATTAGAGAGCGCAAATACTTAGCTACACAAACTAAGCAATGTGACTAACAAGGTTACTAAAACCAAATTAGCCACGCAAGGGAGCTACTTCTATGCTACACAAGCAAGAAGGTAATTAGCAAGCTACACAAGCTATCTAATTACAAAAGCAACAACACAAGCGTAATGTATATGAAAGTAAACGCAAGCTTGTGTAACGGAGATGCAAACCAACGGGAAGAACAAGGTTGACACGATGATTTTTCTCCCGAGGTTCACGTGTTTGCCAACACACTAGTCCCCGTTGTGTCGACCGCTCACTTGGTGGTTCGGCGGCTAATTGGCATCACCCGCCAAGCCCGCACGTCGGGCGCCGCAAGAACCTACCCCTTGAGTGAGGGTAGCTCAATGACACGCTTTACTAATGTTGCTCTTCGCGACTCCCGTGGGGCGAGCACAAGTGCCCCTCACAAGCACTTCTCCGAAGCGCCGCACAAGCTTCTTGCGCGCTTCGACGGAGACCACCACCAGGCCGTCTAGGAGGTGGCAACCTCCAAGAGTAACAAGCACCACCGGCTTGCAACTCGATCACCTAGTGCCACTCGATGCAACCTCACGATGCAATCGCACTAGAATCGCTCACTCACACAATCGGATGATCGCTATCAAGTATGTGTGTGATGGAGGGCTCCCAAGCACTCACAAGCATGGACACTAAGTCCTTTGAGGTGCTCAGCACCAGCCATGGCCGAGGGCCACTTCTATTTATAGCCCCAAGGGCTAAACTAGCCATTACCCCTTCACTGGGCAACGGTCGGGCCGACCGGATGCTCCGGTCGTGTTGACCGGACGCTGGACCTCAGCGTCCGGTCGCCCGCAGACGGCCACGTGTCCTGATTCCAATGGTCATTTGACTTGACCGGACGCAGCAGCTTTCAACTGACCGGACGCTGAACTCCCAGCGTCCGGTCGTTTCCAGTAAGGTACCGACCTCGACTGGACGCGTCCGGTCACACTTGATCGGACGCAGCCAGCGTCCGGTCACACTCCAGCTTCTGCGTCATTGTACGTCAGCCTGACCGGACGCAGCCTGCCAGCGTCCGGTGCATTCAGATCCAGCGTTCGGTCAGTTGACCGACGCCAGCATCTTCGCGACTAACTCGTTTTCACTTCTAACTTCATCACCCTTGCTCCAATGTGCTAACCACAAGAACTTGCATCCGGCGCAATAGAAAATAGGCATTCTATTTTCCCGAAAGCGCCGAATCCTCGCAAGCTCGGCGGGAGGGAGAGAGGGACCCAAACCCATCTCACCCCTGCAAACACCACCTCCTTTGTAAATGTGCCAACACCACCAAGTGTTATGTGTGTTAGCATTTTCACAATCATTTCCCAAAGGATGTTAGCCACTCAACTTGCCACGCCACTCGATCCTAGCGACAATGCAAAGTTAGATCACTCGAGTGGCACTAGATGACTGATATGCAAACAAGTTTGCCCCTCTTGATAGTACGGCCATCTATCCTAAACCCGGTCATAAACTTCTCTACACACCTATGACCGGTGAAATGAAATGCCCTAGGTTATACCTTTGCCTTGCGCATTCCATTCCATCTCCTTCAATGTCGATGCAACACATGCACCAACACAATCAACAATGATATGATCCACTTCATATCATCACGTGATCATATTGGTTCATCGATCTTGACTTCACTTGCCCTTCACCGTTGCCATCGTCCATCAGCGCCAAGTCTTGCTCAAGCTTCACCGTCACGCGGTCCATCACTCCAAAGCCTTTGACTTGCCCTTCACGCTTGCAACCGGTCCATCAAGCCAAGTCTTGTCTTGATCTTCTCCACCTTGATCACATGACTCAATGTCATGTCTCATGTGCAATAAGCTCCTTCATCATCACATGTGTGAGCTTTGCAACATCTCCAAGCCATTTTCACCTCCATGGCATATGTTGCTCATACACATGTACCTGTGGACTAATCACCTGTGTATCTCACATAAACACAATTAGTCCACCTAGATTGTCACTCAATTACCAAAACCAACAAGGACCTTTCAGAGCACTACTAGGAGTAAACTATGTTTATCGTTATGAGTGGTGATGTCCTGTAGGCTACGTTCAGTTAAAATTCCCTAAGGCATGTTACGTTTAGTGTACGACCTCCTCACCCTCAGCATGCATAGGTCGTCACATGCCACTGCAATTGTCGTAGTTTCTTTCGATGTAATATTTGTTTGTTTGAAGTCCGTACGACATGTTAGGTATTCACATGCCATTACATCTGTTGTACGTTGTATCCTTGATTTGAACATTTGTGGTTGAGCTTGAAGTAACAATTCGCCTCTGGTGGGCATGTAGATGATTTGACCGATACAACTATAGTGATTTTGCCTTTACCATTGAAGTATATAGTTTTTGTACAAAAGTAACCAGATTTCAGAAAAGACAAAGGAGACTTAACCAACATAAAAAGACTTTAGAGAGTTGCATACAACATTCCATGCAGGCCAACATACTACTAAAGTACTCAGGTTACAACTTATCAATGGAAGTAGTGGGCACAACTACAAAACTTGTAGCCCCCTAGGAGCCACATGATCAACTGCTACAAGAAGTGTTACATACACACTCTTCTTGTTTACAGTTGCCCATTACATGAGTTAATTAGTGGTCATTACCAAATTTGTGCAAATGACATCAGTCCTCTAAGTCTAATTGGGTAGGTCCATGGGGAACAGTAATACAAAACTTGTACCCACTTATAGGTACTTCGAAGAAGAAGAAGCCCAATTGTTCAAAATCCAGAAAGCAACTGGTGCCCTCTTCTTCCTGCCATCTGTTGCTCCCCTTGTCCAAGTATCCTTTAGTACACACTCACCTACATGTTTATAATAGCATATTTAGTCCAAACTAGGCAGTCAACAAAATGAATAACTTCTCTAACACTACTTTAATGGATTCACATACGTCGTCTTCCCAAGTAGTCCCAGTCCGAAAGTAATCTAGAGCTGGACTTGGTCCATATCCGTGGAGTCAGTTAATGCCATAAGTGCCACTTGATTCAAAGGGCCAAGTCCTCGTGGTTCGTTGTACGTTACTGCTTTCTTCTTTCCCTCCAGTTCATGCACGTAGTTGTGCAACGCATACAAAGCAAGAATTATTTGTGATTGCTTTATGCCGCTATAGTGAGGTACGCATTTCAACATTTGCCACTTAGCTTTCACAGCCCCAAATGTCTGTTCTATAACGGTGCGCAGCTTCGAATGGTGGTAGTTGAACACCTCCTCCGGGTCACCACATTCGTTTCTTGGATATGGCGGTAGATATCCTGGGCTTAGCGCGTAACCGGAGTCCACCAAATAATATCTTCCTGCACACAAACATACAAACAGACAAGATCACAAACAGACAAGGTCACAAACACTTATCACAAACAACCAATTTATTTAAAAAAAACTAGAGCTGGGTGAGGGAAATTGGGATCCTTCCAAGCCTTCTTTAGCACCCGCATGTCATGCGTCGAACCCTCTGTCCCACTACCAACATACGTGAACCTCATGTCGAAGTCACAAGTAGCAACCACATTTTGGCTAGTGTAACCATGCCTATTAGTGTAGGACTCACGGTCTTCTGCTTTAACAATCACTTTTATGTGAGTTCCATCAAGGGCTCCTATGCAGACATAAAAAAGGTGTGTATTCCAATGTTGTTCTGCTCAAACAAATGCCACTCATCGATGAAACGTTGGTGTTCGCTCTGCCAGTTCGTGATCTTCTTTTGGCGTTGTCGATTCAACCTGTAATATTGGCAGCAATTCAAAGAAAATGGTACATTGCAATGAAAAATGAAATGGTAGAGGGTACATACTTGTGGAGCTGCTAGCTGGTGGAGAAGTCCTCAGGAGGACAAGACTGCAGCCTACCGAACTGTCGTGCGACACGATGAGGAAGATGGTACTCCACTGTGCAGAAACAAATCAGCAGGCACCTCATCGTCCACAACTCCTCATCTTCCTTGCATAGTGTGCTTCAATTCATCCCCGTAATTCTTTCCTGAGCATATGGCCGCCATTCAACCTGCATACAATGTGGTGAGCACTATGTACATGCATCAAAATAGGAGTTAGCGTGTAAGCATGTCTTACTTGTTGTGGCAATAGGATGTCAAGCTCGTTCGTGTAGCTGATGTACGCGTGGTGAGAGACATGGTAAGTACCACAGGCTCGTTCGTAGAGGTGTGCCACAGTAGGGCCGATGACTGGGTCTCCTGTTGGGAACCAAGCCTGAGGGTGTTCAATCTTATGCGGTCTCCCAACTGGAATTCTCTCCCACATCCAAATCTAAAAAGTTACATAAATGTGTTAAACAAACAATATTGAAAACCTAGAAACTTGCACAAGTTCGAGTTACCTGAAAAATGGTGCACCTTGACATTGTAGCATGCGCGCCTGAAGGCCGTCGGCAAGCCTCGCACAACTGATGGTACAGAAACGCAAGTACCGCCGAGCCCCAGCTCATGTTCCCTGCATCGTCCCAGTTAATAAGGCATGGGATGTACATCCACGACGCCGTGTCACCGGTGCCGTTAGGGAATAGAACGGTACCAAACATGTTAAGCACCCAAGCCCTGCTGTAGTAGTTCACGGTCGCCTCGCCTGCTCCTAGTGGGCACTGATTAAACTGCTCACGAAGCCACTTCAGTGGCACACCACTGTTGCGCCGCTTCTTGCCAGGCTAAAGCTCTGGTAGCGAACATTTCAAGAACTCAACCACACGGTCCTCCCATCCAGCTGACTCCGTGTCTCCTATGACTTGGAATCCTCGGATATTTAGCCCAAGGATCATGGCTGCATCCTCCAAAGTGATCGTCATCTCTTCCAACGGCAGGTGGAAGCTGTGTGTCTCTGGTCACCACCTATCAATCATCGCTGTCAGCGCTGCTGGGTTGAAAGGTGGCACCCCACGACGACAGACACGAGCTACAGTAGCAAGCTTCACCCTCTTTAGGAGGGGCGTGTAGCGCTCATCATAGACCATGGTCGTAGCAGACTCATGTGTCATTGGCCTCAAGACGTTCAGAACCTGCAAAACAATTAGAATAGACAGTAAGTATTACATTCGTTGAATTCATGTAAATGGAGGCAATTGAAGTTTACCTCTCCCTGCTCAATCCTCCGAGCCCGATGCTTCTCATCGTACCTTGGGTCAAGTAGGGGGGACTGGTCCATCCTGCATGTTAACAAGTCACAAAGCATTAGTCTTGATGACAATAATTAACAAACATTGATAAGAGAACAAGTAACAAAAGTTAAATAACAACAATATACCAACTAGTAAACAATGCATTAGTAACCACTACGAAAAACAAATACATCAATATATACCCGTGACAAAAACAAGTGCAGCAAAAGATAACAATACATTAATAAGAAACCTAGTAACTACTAAGCAAACAAATTCATTGGATACCTATTCTCTAAGTACTTCAGGATATTTCCTTCTATTGTGGTCCGGCTTATGGCACTTTGAGCAATGGCTACATTGAGTGTCCTCTACAAAATGTGTCCCAACCTTATTCGCGGTTGATCTTCCTTTGGCGGCTCGGTCCATGTCTATCTTGAACCACTTCCGCCTCCTGGGTCATCTACTCTTCCAAAGCAAGCCAATATCAGCCACATACTTGGGGCCATCATACAACGGCCGTTGTTCTTCGTCCAAAAATGGCTCAAACTGAGGATTCCAAGTGCTCATAAGGTTTCTCAATGAGAACTCAGTTGCCAATTGGGGAGGGACCTCTGCATCAACACGTCTAATCCGTACGTGCATGTTGTGACAGCTATATGACCATGCATAGTGTCATGTGAGATCATCACATTACTATTTGTATGTTTTTATTGTTCTTTTTTATTTTGTTTGAAGGCATGGTCCTCAGTTGCCCATTATTTTGACAAATTACTCTGTAATTGTAATAAGTTGTATAATTATTGCAACAATGTGCGCTATGCGCGCTTGATGTTGTATTTATGTCTATATTGCAACATTAAGGGGACAAATAATATTAGTATTAATTACTAGCACCATATCTCTCTGTGTCCTCCAGATTGTTTAAGATCTCCGAGCGACCGGTAGACAGATTCTTTTTTTATACCACAAAACCGTGTCCAAACTGTATAAATATAATGCAAGGTCACGCCCAACGCTAGTGGTGAGGTTTAGAGGTGATTTCGCCTATCTATCTACAGTCTTCATCTTGGCCAGCAGCGCCCGGGTGATCTCGACGCACAGCCCGGCGTTCCTGACAGCGAAGTCGTCGTACTCGGGCGAGAACACCACCTGCTCGGCGTGCTCCACCACCGTGTCCATGGCGCGCTCCCTAAGCGCCGCACTGGAGCTCAGCTCTGCGACCTCCAGCGTGCGCAGCACGTTGGAGGCGTCCACGGCCGCCGCCAGCCGCGCCTCGCAGGCCCGCCGCAGGAACGGCACGTCGTACTTGTCGGCCGCCACGAGGAGCGCGTGCAGCTGCCGCTCCTCCGGGACCTCGACCGGGACCGGGAGCCTGCCGCCGCCGCCGCCGTCGTCCTCCAGCGCGCCGGTGTAGAGGAAGGCGAGGAGGAGGGCGAGCTCGTCGTGGGTCAGCTCCGGGAGGGAGATGGCGTCGCCGGCGGGGGCCTTGCAGCGCTCGTCGGCGGCCAGCATGTGGCGGAACACCTCCGACCTCGCGGCCTGCGTGCGTGCGTGTGCGTCAGATCAGACGTGACATTAATTATCTGATGGGCTGGCTGGGCTTCGTTTGAAATGCATGCAGGGAATGAAGGCCCACTTGTTCGCCAACCAGTAGGCATATTCCTGTCTAAAAAGCCCACTCACTTACCAGGATGGCTTTGTGGGCCGGGATTGGGGGCCCAGTGCCCGGTTTGACGACGATGTCGGTGTGGACTCCCTCCTTCCACGCCATCACCAGGCCCTGCGCGAGAAAGGCAGCTCTCTGGTGGGCCTCCTCCTCCCTGCCTTTCATATCCTTCACTTGCCGCCATGCGTCTCTCATCCCCTGCGTTGGTTGGTTGCTTCAGAAAACGAACTGAATTCTGTTTGGCAAAAAATCACCTCTGATAGATTTCGGTGTCATCTTGTTGCCTACTACTACATTACACTTTGACCATGGATTGTAAGGCAGAAATCATTTCCTTAATTACATTTACATGTTAGTAGTCTTGGTATTATTCAGGCTTGCATATTGGATTTTCTACAAATACGGAATGGCAGGGGTCAGGGAAAGAGTTGAACGTCTCTACTGAACAGGCACCAAAGTTGAACATACTGAGAATGAGCGAGAAGCCGAGAATCAAGGAAAATACACTTTGCACTGCATTTCTGAGATTTTTGCTGCAAAGCAAAACCTTAGGGAGTTCTGAACTGTATGTTCTAATAACACGACACAAGCGTAAAAGGCGGTTGCGGAAAGGCCTGAAACTAATAATTAACTTTATGAAGACCCGTTAACATCTGGGGGTCACTTTTTACAGAACCTTTCTATTGAAGCATGAATGCAGCAAACGTCGTCCTGAGATTGTGACATGCAGCTGACTAGAAACCAAACAACACTGGTATATGCTAGCAAACCAAAGGTGAATGAACTAGCACGTTCTATTTCAACAACAAAAAAACAGTGTTGGTTTAGAAAATTCAGATATCTAATTATAGCAGTATGAAAAATCGATCAGGATATATAAGTAACATGTAAACATGTGCTCAATCGGAAATAGCTAAGGAACAGATCATTGAGTGAGGAATTTGTACCTTGGTTGGGCTGTTAGTTTTGACAGACCCTCTGGACTTGAGCACAGAGCCATGGCCGCCCTCTTCTTGCTGCTGCTCATCATCCTTGTTCAGAAATCCGATGATGGCCTTGGCGCCCTCGTGGCAGGGAGCACAGATGGCGTTCCTCGGAAGCCTGTACACGGCCGCCATGGGGCTGCAGATGCAGCAGTCCATGCTTCCGCTACCGCCGCCGCCGCCTCGCCTTGCTCTCCTTCTTCTTCGTCCTCCTCCTCCCTCTGCTTCTGGTGCTCTGCAATGGTGCTAACAGCAAGCTGTTCGCCATGGCCTTGCGTTGGGTGAGGGTATAAAAACGAATGGGAGAAGAGAAGAGGGGCAGCCTGCAGGATGGTGTGCTGCGATTTCTTTTTCTAGAACTGGTACGCGGTGGTTGCTGACTGAGACAATCAGGGGAATTAAAATTCTCCTGGTTTTCATAAATGTGCTGTGTGTAGCGCAGGAATGTAGTCGGTGTGTGGTGGACACCTTTGTATGCCAAAGTAGTACATTGACTAAACTGAGTAACTGACCTCGCCCGGGTATCTCTTCTCCTCTTTTTTTTCAATTCAGATGGAATGATTATATATGGTTTGTTTCAAAAAAAAAGAATGATTATATATGGAACGACAAAAGATTATTACTAGTACAACAACTAATCATCATGCAAAATGTGGTTATTCCAGAAAGAAAGAAGGAATGAATGAATGTATGGTGCTTAATAAAGTACGAGCAGGCATTGTCTTTCTGGATTATTTCACTTTTAGTGCAAGCTTAGGTACAATTGTCCATTGTTGGGCAAGCTAAGCCAACTACTCTGTACCTAAAACAGGCTGTTCATGGACAGGACTGTAGAAACGTAGAGGGTACGTTGTACCAAAAGACTTTTTAAGACATACTTACTGCAGATGAAAATCTTGGTTGACTCCGAATATAGTATTCACAGATAAGACTGAATACTTTCAGCCACTTTTTGGCTCTGTAACTTTTTAGCTATTTCTCTGTTGATGAAGTGGGAACTGAGATAAACATGACAAGCCAGAAGGAATGTGAAATCCAAAATATCAAATGAAAATGTTGTTGTGGCATATAAACTTAGCTGCTGGAAGGACAGTACGGTCTTTTCCTCTCATCAGGATGCCTATAATCAAGTAGACATGCCAGAATTAAATTGAGATAAAATGATTTGGATATATGATTGCATGATTATTATAAAATGAATGAAGAGAAGAATCATCACATCATGGACCAGCAGTAGGTTGCTTGAGAGGGACTTTGCAACCTAAACAAAAGAGAATAAGATACTTGGACTTTTGTTGGGGACTTGGCGGAAAGGGAAAAAAATGAAAGGTGGATGTTGGAGAGAGGCTTGGAGGGTGGCACGGTTTAGCTAGCCTAATTAACGCTTCCATAACAAGGCTGTGTGTGTTAACCACTATCCTCCCACTCACCTGACATGTGGGGGCCCTCGCTCGGTCTCTTTCAAGTCATGCTGCGCATGCATGACAGAAGAATATATGGAACTGCAATGTACACGTACTGGTGTCATGGTAGGGAAAAGGGATGAGGTTGTTTTTTTTTCTCTCAAAAGTAGTATGAAACGGAATGAAAAAAAATAAACACGACTTTTAGTTTTTTTATAAAAGAAGGAAAAGAAAAGAAAGCTTGCATGCTTACTAATAATTAGTGTAATAATCACTGTCCCAGTAGGGAAAACATAAAGGGGGTAATGACCATGCAAGTAATGAAGCTGTAAAGGCAATTGGAGTGAGGACATCCGTTGATGCATCTAATAATTCAAATAATGACGATGAGGATTTGTTGGGTTGGTTGGTTACTGCCTAATAGTCGTCGCCCGTAAGTTTTTTTTAGGGTAAACAGGCCCAGAGGCAGAACAGGAGTACAAGTTAAAACAAGAAAAGCAGGAAGCTAAGCTAGAGCTAAAGGAGAAATCAAGAAAAAAAGAAAGAAGTGAAGAAAATGAACAGGAAGGAAAAAAGGAACCAGGCTAAGCTAGATTTGCAATCCATTGATTGATGCTTGGAGAGTAACACCTCTTTGCTCGAAGCGATAGGAGCTCAAGCTCTGATCTGAAGAAGAATCTCTTGGAACTCTACAATGAAGGCTCTGTCTGCCTGAACACTAGATCATTTCTGGCTTTCCAAATTGTCCAACACATTAATGTAATTATCTCCATGAAGAATGGTACCTGGAGCTGATCTTTGAAGCTTTGGAGCATCTGGAATGGATCCAGAGAATTGTTGATCTGGATACCAATCAAGGCCCAACATTGAGAAGCAAAAGGGCAGTGAATAAACAGGTGGAACAGTGTTTCTTCAGTCATGTCTAAACAAAGGGGACAGTTGTAGTCTTCTAGGGTCATATTTTTCCTCCTTAGCAGCTCTCTTGTACTCAGTCTATCTTTTAGTAACATCCAAAAAAAACTTTGTGTTTATTTTGACATGAACTTCTCCAATTCCATTTGAAGGCTGGGTGAATTTGCAGATGCCCACTAAGATGATTGTAAGCTCTGTTTACTGAAAAAACATTAGAGTTCTCTGGTGAGTCATTCAGGCTGATGTTTTGTAACTCTTCCTCCAAGTGAAGCATCTGTGTATGTGCTTGCTGTGATAATGGCAGATGAAAGAGACTATGAATTGAATTTGAGTTTTCCTTTTTCAAAAGAGATCTGCTTCTTTTTCACAAAGGAAAACAGCTCTAGGTATTTATGCTCAGGAATGTCTGATCCCCAAAGATCTTCCTAAAAGAAACAAGATTTCCCATTGTTAACATTGACCTTTGCCATTCCCTTAAACTTTTCTAGCAATTTGAGCACATCTTTCCACCAAAAAGATCCCTGCCTTGAATTACCAAGTAATCTGCCATTACTGTAATATTTCTCCCACACCAATGAAACCCAGGGCACATCTTCCTTGTTGAAAATTTTATGCAGATGCTTAAGAAGAAGAGCCTCATTTTGTGTTTTGATGTTGAGCACCCCCAACCCTCATTCC